TTTAGCAATAAAAAATATTTTTTAATGTTTTAAAATCCCAATTAGGAATATTTTTACACACACACACACAAAGAATTGGAATTCACATGCATAGCTGACTGGATTAATGAGGGTGTAATGTTAGCAATTTTGTAAGTTTAAGGTGCCACAAGTACACTTTGGAAATAGAGGGGGCCACAAGGCTTTTTGGTGAAAATTCAAAAGGCAATTTATGTATTCCGCTATTTATATTTACATGTCTTTATTCATGGAACTAGAACCATTTGAGACATAGAACCAAAACCATTTATATCCCAATTAGGAATTCTTAAGTGAACCCAGTCTACCACGTCAGCCATAGACTGGGCCAATCAATTAATGCCACATCATCCATTTTATTAATCCATTTCACGTCAGCAATTTTTAAACCATTCCAACTGGATTTTCTAATCTATAACCAAACAAGAGATTATGAACTGCTGAACACGTTTTTACGGAGAAATTCTTATCTCTCACCCCCTCTTTCATATTCTTAAATCATCGACATTGAATCTCTTATCCTACTCTATATCTTACTTTGATCTCATGTGTCTCTCATCTCCATATCTTTTTGTTTTTTGTTTTTTTTTCTTTTTTTTTTTGGGTTGAGAATGGTAAGGAAAGCTTCAAAGAATTACACACAGAGTCGCTGATGAGCTCTATTCGTTCAGGGCTTGAACTGGTCTCTATTCCTTCAAGGCGTGAACTGGTATTTAGTCTTTGGTCTTTGAACTTTCTTCCAGTAAGAAATAAAAATTAGATTTAATTGGGGATCACTCACAAAAAAAATCCTAAGCAATAATAAAAAAGAGACTTTAATCATCATTTTTTTTTTCTGTTTTATTCCTTGCTCAACTTTTTCAGGAAATTTTTTATTTCTTATTAATCTTGTTTCATAATCTCCTGTTTGGTTACAAATTAGAAAATCCAGTTAGAATGGTTTAAGAATTGTTGACGTGGAATGACTTAAATAAAAGAGATGATATGACATTAATTGATTGGCTTAGTTTGTGGCTGACGTGATAGACTAGGTTCATCTAAGAATTTCTCCAATTTATGTATTCCGCCATTTATATTTACACGTGTTTATTCATAGAACCAAAACCATTCGAGACATAGAATTAATAACTTTGAACACCTCGCTTTTTGGAATAATGTCAACAGCAAGCAAGGGTAACAAAAAATACCGAATTGAGATATAATATTAGTAAGCTTTCTATTTTTTTTAAGATTAAATTATTTCTATTATTGTCATAAAAATATAATTTTATAATTATGATGAATGTGATGAAATATATTATATATATATATATCCTGTTTGTTTTAACATATTTTTAATTTTACGGCTTTTTTAATTTTATCTATATTCCGTTGGTAAATTTATCTATATTACCTTATCTATATATACATCTTCTCTAATTTATTTAATTTAAAATTAATAGATATTATGAAGAATTATGTGAATTTCAGGATTACTTTTCTATTTTTCAAATGGAATATATTTTCTGTGTTTTGTTTTTTATTTATCTTTAAATAATATCATCTATAATATAAATTGTTTTCTCTAATCATATCTATTTTTTTAAGTTTATATAAAATTAAAAATATAAATAGATGCAATATCTAATTGTATCTCTTTATACTCTACATCTACTATATTTCTATATATATTTTTTGAAAGAATCTATATTTCTATATATTAAGTCAAAAGCATATAAAAAGTATTGTGTATATAAATTACTTCATTATGAAAATTTAGTATTCTATTTATTTATTCATTTTTTTTTCAAAAAATAAATAGACATAACTTCAATTTGAACTTCACGATTGGATTTTACAAGATTTAGAAATAATTGAATTTAAGAGGCGAGAATTAATTTTTGTAGGATAATAAGAATTAATTGATAAGTTTGAATGTGATTCTTATTTGTAAGAAAATATTTGGTCTCTTTCTGAGGGGAAAAAATCAATTGCATTAAGGATTTGAAACAATATCAGACAAAACAAAATGATTGATGAAATGTAGAACCTCCTCAATCCACATCTGTTCTAAAGGAAAAGCAAAAGCTAATTTACTCAAAGCATGAGCTACAACATTAAGGACCCTTTTAACATGAAAGCAAGAAAAAGAAACAAAGCTTATAGAAACAAACTCAAGCTCAAGCAATCTGGTACCAAGTTCATTGTCAAGGAAGAGCTTGCGATGGAAGTGCTAAATCATGATCAAAGAATCAGATTCCAAAATAATATGAGTAAAGCCATCTCCAACGCCTTTAATAGACCAAAGTAAGCTGCTACAACCTCAGCTTGTTCAGCAGCAACCTGCAACGGACTAGCACAACACCCAGCTCCCATAACCTCACCTTTGTCATTTCTGATCACAAAACCCCAACCATCCCCTAACGTGTTTGAAGTTAACGCATCTGTATTCATCTTAACCACGCTAATAAGAGGGGCCATCCACCTATCATTGATCAGGGCTAAAATATTAACAACATTGGCAGTATGGCTTAGTTGGCACGTTGACTGAAAATAAAAAAGCACAGTTAGCCCCATTTGCAAAACTTGAGGAACAAAAACCTTCTGCGCTGAAAATTAAGCAAGTTATATGCCTTCCAGATTGCCCAAGCAACTGCTGTAAACATTTGGAGCTGAGCATCCTCAAAACCTGTCAGAATGGCTTTAAACCAGTCAAAAAAATCATCAGCAATAAATAAATTTGTATCAATCCAGAAGGGGCTGAGTTTCCAGACTTGCATCGCCATCGAACACTGCTTAATCACATGAATCACAGATTCACCAATTTCGCCACACAACTCACAAATATGGTCAACAACAATCCCCCTTTTAATCAAGAAAGAGAGACCATCAGTAAATTTTTTAGAGCCCTGAAAAGGAAGTGCTTCAACTTTGGTTGAACCTGGAGATTCCAAACTTTCTTCCATAGAGACTCATCAATCCTTTGGGAACCTGATGGACGAGCTTGGGAATTAATAGTAGTGAATGCCACATGATACCCACTTTTAATTGAATACAGCCCATTCCTAGTGTAATGCCAAATAAAAACGTCATTACAGCGACAACGATTGAGCGGGGTGGCTTTGATTAAACTGACTTTAGCAGGAACAAAGATATCATCAATCGGCTCATCATTCTAACTACATAAATCGACATTAATCAATTCACTCACCCGAGCATTCGCAGCAAGCCGATTCACTGAAGAACATACTCTAAAACCATTATTACCAGCAATCCACCTATCACACCACACCTCAACCAGTTCCCCATTCCTTATCAAGCAACGAGACGCTTGCTCAATCAACCACCTCAACTCCATTAGGCTATGCCATGCATAGCTTGGCCTGAACCCCTTTTGTGCTTGCAAAAAAGATGTCCGCGAAAAGTGTCTCGCTTTAAGGCACCTAGATAAGAGAGATTTAGGGTTTTTAATCAAACGCCAGCATTGGTTGGCAAGAAGGGCAAGATTAAAGGCATGAGTATCCGGAAAGCCAATACTCCCCATCTACTTTACCGCACATAATTTATGCCACGAGCACCAATGAATTTTCTTCTCATCACGTTGTTGCCCCCACCAAAAATTTGCAACAAGAGAATCAATTTTGTTACAAATATTTAAAGGAAGGAGGAAGCGACTCATGGTATAATTTGGAATGGCCTGTGCTACAGCTTTTATTAAAACCTCCTTTCCACCTTTTGACAAAGTTCTTTCCTTCCATCCCTTCAGCTTATGCTCACCCTGTCACAAATACTCTAAAAAACAATCTTCTTACTTCGACTAATTACTGCAGGAAGACCAAGATATTTTAACTGTTGCTGAATTCCGCAGACTCCTAAATAATGCATTATATCATCACAGTGATCAGGAGTCGTATTCTTGCTGAATGAAATTTCGGACTTGTCAAAATTAATTTTGGGCCAGAAGCTCGTTCATAATCTTAAAGAATTATCTAGATTATTTTAGCCTCCAGAAGCATAGCTCTAACAAAAATCAAACTGTCATCCACAAAAAATAAGTGAGAAATAACTAGTGTTCATCAACAAATTTTTATACCATGCAACTTGCCCTCCCTCCCTGCTTTAGAAATCAAACCTGAAAAAACTTCAGCACAAAAAAGAAACAGATAAGGAGATAACAGGTTTCATTGGCGAAGACCTCGCTTGGAAAAAATTTTTCCTTAGGCTCACCATTGATTAACAAGGAATAAGAAATTGTAGTAATACATCTCATAATAAGCTCCACCCAAGCAACTTTAAAACCCATATGAAGCATAACTCCCCTAAAAAATTTCCACTCCACTTTGTCATAAACCTGACTCATATCAAGTTTAAGTGTAAACTGACCACAACCCCTAGATTTAATTTTCATATGATGGAATATTTCAAAAGCAACTAGGTGTTATCCGTAATGAGCTGACCTGGGATAAAGGCAGACTGAGTAGGGCTAATAATATGACGGAGTAAATTACATTACAAAGACTAATAGGTCTAAAATCTTTAGTAAGTTCATGATTTTTAATTTTTGGAATAAGAGCAATATATGTATGATAAATAGACTCAGGAGAAGCATTATTATTCAGGATGATAAGGACTTTATTCTCAACATCATACCCGACAGTATTTCAAAAAGTTTGAAACAATAAAATAGACATACCATCAGGACCAGGAGATTTAGACGGAAGCATTTGTTTAAGGGCATACCTGACTTCTTCATGAGTGAAGGGCTTCGTTAGTTGATTATTTGTCTCCTCTGAGACCTTGCAATTGACAGTGTTTAGCACGTCCTGGTAATCCTGTGATTCTGCTAAAGAAAATAGCTAAACAAAATACTCAGTTATGACCCTAGCCATGTCCACTTCCTCTTCAAAAGCTCTCCCATCATCATCTTTTATTTTTTCAATGACATTCTTTTTCTGACAGAAGTCAGCCTTCGAATAAAAGAAGGCAATATTCTTATCGCCCTCCTATAACCACTGAACCCTAGACCGTTGAGACCATATAATCTCCTCTCGTGCAAGCAACTCTTTCATCTGCAACTCTATCTCCCTCTGTTTAGCAACATTCTCAATAGATTGGGCACTCTCCTGTAAAATCTTAAGTTGAGACTAAAAATCCATCAAAGTATTATTGACATGGCCGAACTCAATTCTATCCCATAGTTTTAGGTCCTTTCCACATCTAACCAACTTCTCCTCAATATTTAAGCCTGCCTTACTTGAATCAACCCAGGAATTCTCAACAATTGGTCGACATAAATCATTCCGAAGCCACATATGCTCGAAACGAAAAGGTCTCCTCTTTCGTCTCTTAAACCGAGATGGATACCAAGCAAGATGAAGAGGACAATGATACGATTTCAATCTAAAGAGATGTTCAATTTTATAGTCCGGAAAGGATGTAATCCAATCAGCTGTACCCACAAAACGATCTAAACTCCTGAACGTTACCCTTACCTGATTGGCCATTACTCCAAGTTATCTGCAGACCAGAATAACCTAGATCCACCAACCTGCAATTATTCAAAATATTATGAAAGACATAAAGTTGCTACTGATTTTTAGGCCTACCACCACTTTTCTCAAAATTAAATAAAACTTTGTTAAAAAAGCCACTAACAATCCATGGTAAAGAAGATTGAGGAGACAAATGATCTAACAAAGACCAAGACAAATGCTTTAAATTTTCCTCCGGCCACCCATAGAAGCCAGTAAAGTGCCATCTTTGATCTATAATCACATCAATATGGCAAACAGAGAAAGAAATCAATGTAATATCAATAGAATGATGCCAAAACAAGCTCAACCCCCTTCTACCATCACCTTGATCACAATCTATAGAAATACCATTTCGAAAACCACACTTCTCTCGTATACGAACCATTTCAGAAGACAATAATTTTGTTTCCATTAAGAAAACAAAAGCGGGATCTTTAAGCTTCAAAAGCTTTTTTAAATTCTGAATTGCATAAGGGTTCCCAAGCCCCATGCAGTTCCAAATTAAGGCACTCATTGCGCTAGGCGACACTGCTTACCGTCGAATCAAAAGAACAAGGACTAACAATAATTGTACCTTTTTTATGCGCTTTAGAACACCCTCCTCCAAACTAGTACCTCTATAATTCAAATCAGCACCAAGTTTCCTCTGATCATGACTCTAAACAGTTATATCTGCATTCCTAGCTTGCCGTTTCCATGATCTTTTCAACATACAAGGGTCACTAGGTGTAATGGGGATAACTGGACTGACAGGTTCACTGCAAATGTGTGTGGGAGGTAATTTTATGGGTACGGTCGATGGGGCTACGACCGACACAGGTAACTCTTCTTCAATATATGGGGATAGAGGTTGGACACGTGATGGTGTATCAGGTGGAACAGGAACCGTAACGGGCAAGCTAGATGGGGCAGGTGAGGGATGAGAAGAAGCGGTGGCATTTGCAGGATGTTGTGTCGTGATATTAACAGCCATTTAACTTAAAGAATATCAGGAGTAGAAAAAGGGACATGGGACTCAACATCACAATCATAAGTATTAGTAAAAGGTGGGATAACGGGAGTACCTGAATCATGGATCGCGGGCTCGGGGAATAACTGTTTCACGACAGAAGAATTCGTTTCATCCACATGGCTATCTCTGCGAACTCTACGGGAGAGGCGCAATGGTGAAGCTTTGAGCCAATCACCATATTGCATTTGGTTTTCCTCAATATCTTCTACGCTATCCAAATCATCATAATGTTTAAAACTATGTACACAACGACTACAGTAGAAACAGAACATAGGGAGGCCTTCATATTTGAAAGGAACCCATATTGAGTTACCAGATGATACTTGGATCATTGAACCCCTCAATAAAGCCTTTGATAAATCGACCAACACCCTAAACTGAATAAATTTTTTTCCCTAAGAATTTCTATCCTTTTTCGGCCATTGTAAAACAACACCCACCTTAGAACTAAGCATCCTTGCTACTTGCTTTGTCATACACTGTAAAGGTAGATCAAAAGCCCGTACTCAAAATGGCATACTGTTAAAGTTAATACTAGATGGCTGCTCATCCACTTGAATTTCTTTAAGGACAAGGATATTTCTCTCAAAATGCCAAGATTCACTAGATAACACTGACTGCATGTCTTTTTTATTATTAAATTAAAACAAGAAACATCCTTAGCCCATTCCCTAGGATGAACTCCATATTTCATTTTCTATACTCTAACTATCATATCCATAAGAGCATATTTATAATCTATCAGATCATAACTTACCAGCAAGAGAAAGAAAGGCCTTTCCTCCATGGTTAATCTCCTCAAGAATTTCTAACACTTCTACTTCCTTATTCGTACGAACCTGCCTAATATTGGCCATTTTTTAACAGAATCACAAAAACCTAAGAGTGAAACATGCAACAAAAGAGGCCCAGCAGAGAGCAAAAAAACTAAATACCTGAGAAAGAATAACAAGAGCACAAATAGAAACGCTTAGAAAGGGAAGACAACTCACAGAGACAAAAAAAAGATGGTGCCGAGAAATAAATAAGAACAACGAAACAATCAATATAGAGAGCAAAAAAACAGAACAGAAATGAAATAGGACAATGGAAAGAAAACCCTGAAAGCAAAGCAATGCAGGACAAGCTAAATGAATATAGAACGAAACCAAAACGTACCATGTACGAAGCAAACGAAACTAACGAGCTGAATAAGACAAGAGGATGTCAAGCGAAACAATGCAAAGCAAATAAAAAATAAAAGAAAGAGGAACAAACACACCTATAACAGTCGCTTTAACTAGGCATAGTTACAACAGAACACCCTAACAACAATGAATGATCAAGAGAGGAGCCAACTGGGAATCGGTCTCTAATTGTAGAGTAACTTTATGTTAGAAGACGTAACCGAGCCGTCATAAGTAGAGAAACCTAAACTCTCACGAGAGAGAGGACCACTTTTAATCACAAAACTGGCCTCTTTATAAAATTTGAAATTAATTTAATAATTTGATTTTACCTTTTTCAATTTTTGATTTCATTTTATTTTATTTAATTGCGAGAAAAGATGACTCATGGTACTATTTGAAATCATGAAACTAAAGCTTATATTGGATAAGGGAGCATATCACATAAAGAAGTTTTTGAAGAAATTAAAAATTAAAAACATTGACTCCAAAATGCTCAAACAAATAATTATTGTCTCACCCATTTATTGATAAATTTAATTTTTATAATTCTCATATCTTAATGTATATATCTTTTAAATAGAATTAAACTTTAGATTTCCAAAAGTTTTGATTTATATTATAAAAGAAGCTATATAAACTAGAAAGAGTTATGCATTAAATATAAATTATAAATTATAAATAATAAATTACAATGTGTATTAATAAAGAAATCCGCACAAAGCATGGCTCTAGTATATATAAAGTACGAATGGGAAGAATATTGGGTTTCTAAAACACATATGCTAAATTTATGGATTGCCAAAAATATCATCGAAGACTTTAATTTAATTGGTTGAAAAATAAAGCTAGTTTAATTTTGATTTGTTATGTTAATTTTCTATTTGAATTTAAATTCTATTAGGAAGTTTAATATAATTCTTAGGCTACATTTGTTTTCGGAAAATAACTTGCATAAAATATTATTTTCCGACGTTTGGTTTTACATAAAATATTCTTGGAAAATAATTTTCAACATTTGATATAACATTAAAAAATTTAATTTTAATCATATAAATAATGTATTTACACCTATTATATTATTTATAAGCAACTATATTAAAGATAAATTTAATAATTAGAGTTTCTATTTAAAATGTATTCTCATAGTATAATACTATAATGATGATTAATTTAGTCTAATAATGTTATTTAATTTTTTGAATTAAATTATTTAATAATACAATGGATATCATATTAAGATAATTTAACAATATATAAGTAATATAATTACTTTAAAATATATTGCTAAAATATATATTTTAAATGGAATGAACTTTAAAATATTTTTTAAAAATATATTGTTAAAATAATTTAATGATTATTTTAAAATAATCATATTGCAAAAGTATCATGTAAAATATATTTTAAATTGTATGGACTTATCAATAAATTATTTTAAGCATTTCTTCCAAAAAAAAAAAAAAGCCACTTGAGATATTTTTGATACTTCATTCTAAAGAGACTGTGAGCCCACAATTGCACCTCTTCAACAGATAGAGTGTTCCTTGGGGGACCAAAAAGACTAGTTTTGAATTATAAAATAAGTTAGGGAAATTTTTTCCCATGTAAACAAGGGTAAGTCATTTTCCTTAATTGCTAACTTTTTTCTATTGACCAACAATTTATTTTTCTTGACTTATTTTCTTTTAATATTCCAAACAATGGAAAATTATAGAAAATATTTTATTGCAAGTTATTTTATAAAAATAAACGGAGCCTAAATAGGAAATTGGCCAGTTTGGTATCATTCTAATTAGGAAGGTGTCCTACTATACCACTATGTACATATCTATATATATAATTGTAATTACTTTTGACTATCAAGACTTATTATATTAAACTTTTTCTAATTTGAAATTATTAACCTTTCGGTAAATAAAACATATAAAAAGATTATCTCTAATTAGCATAATCATAATTAGTAGCCTTCTTATTAATTCTCTTCGGATATTAGATGATAGAAAGGCAAATACTTTCCTTCTTTTATTTTTTGCCTTTGAAATTAGTTTTTTAAGGCACACGTGATTAATTATTAGTGTTAAATATACATACAATGCTTTTGTTAATGCTTGGGTGCAGATTTATGCTATACATAGGTGATCGTCCAAAGAGTGAAATTTATGAATTAGATCTTCATGATTCAAACGCATAGATTTGCGCTTGAAGTTTGTGCGATTTGTATTGTGGCACCATCAAGTTTGCGGGAGACCTATCATGATCCTACATTTTCACATTTTCAATAACATTATGTTCCTCACCAAAGCATTACTTTGCAATAGTTTAATTATAACCATACACTTTTACATTTTATTTTGACGAGTGACATAGTTATTGATAATAATCATAATATATCTAAGAAGATATCTCAAATTATCTTAAAGATAACAATTATAGTTTATAATATCCTAAAATATCTCATAAAATAACTGTCCAAATATCTAGTATTTCTATAATATCTAAATGTATCTCCTAAAATGTCCCTAAATCCTCAACCAAAATCGATTAGTAGTGGAGAAATCTCTCCATTATTAAACCTAACCATATCACTATATAAAGAGATAAGTGAAGCAATATAACCAAGACATATACAATTATAATCATCTCTTCTCTCTAAAAAAAACTATTATCCTCTCAAAATATTGGCAAAAAGCATATTGTCATTTTTGAGAATATCTAATGGTCAAATGGTGCGATGAGCGTGGAACATACCTTTGTGATTGGGTCAACAAGAACCGCGTTGACACTTGGTG